CACCAAACCTTGTAAGACCGCAAAAGACACCGGTCTCCTAACGTCCGTCGACGTCTTTCCCCTCCGAAAACCCCGAACCGCCTGCCGAACCAAGAAATGCTTTGTCAAATCTTCCCACCCTTGGAATTTAAACCAGAAAGCCAAGGCGGACATATGCCTGTCTACCATGGCCGGCGAAGCCCCCTTTGCAAACAAACGGCACAACAACCATAGAAAGACATCCAACCTATGGCCCACCGAAAGGTCCCCACCTACCTCCTCTACAGTTTCCTCCCATTCCTTCCAAACCTTAGCATAAGATGACCACGTGCTCGGTGCCAAGGATTTCTTTATGTATTCCCCAAGCACGATGTCCCGAGTCGCCACATCTCGTCTGGGCAGGCCTGCCCGTATTCCCGTGCCTCTGGAGCCGCTCCCCGAAAACGATCCCACTGAAAACGAGAAAGCGCATCAGCCACCACATTTGAGAATCCCGGAATGTGCCTAGCCCTGAATACTAAATTGGAAGACATGCAGAGGAGCACCAATTGCCGCAGTAGGCATAAGACCGGAAGCGAAGATGCCGACAAACTGTTGATTGCCTGCACCACGGCCATATTGTCCGAATAAAACACGACTCGCTTGTTTGCTAATTCTGCTCCCCACAACGCTACCGCAACCACCACAGGAAAGAGTTCCAAAAATGCCAGATTTTTGATCAATGGGCTCGCCCTCCATGCCTCGGGCCATGCCTCGGCACACCACCGCCCCGAAAAATACGCCCCGAACCCCACGCTGCCCGAAGCGTCCGTAAACAGCCCTACTGCTTCCGAAGACACCACTTGCTCCCGAAAAAAGGCCTTGCCATTGAAGTCCCTCAAAAAACGATCCCACACCTCTAAGTCCGCCTTCATGTCCGCGGAAACCCTGATGTAGTGCGACGGCATCCGTATCCCGCTCATCGCCCGCGCCAACCGTCTACAGAAAACCCTCCCCATGGGTATGACCCTGCACGCAAAGTTCAGGCTCCCTACCAGAGACTGTAATCCCCTCAGCGTCACCTTCCGTGCTCTCCCGATCGTGTGAACCAAATCCTTCAGTTTGTGCAATTTGTCCTGTGGTAATCTACATTCCCCGATCTCCGAATCGATCTCCAAACGCAGAAAACTGAGACACATGGCAGGTCCCACGGTCTTGTCCTCCGCCAAAGGAACCCCCATCGTCCGCGCTACCCATTGGAACACCCGTAGTATCTGCTTGCACCGGTCTGAGCCTCGAGGGCCGACACATAAGAAGTCGTCCAGGTAGTGCACAACCGTGCCCCCGGCCGATTCCCGTCGCACTACCCATTCCAGAAAAGTGCTAAACTTCTCGAAATAGGCGCACGATATAGAACAACCCATCGGCAAGCACAGATCCACAAAGAAGCCCCCTTCAAAACAACACCCCAAGAGGTGATGACATGACGGGTGTATGGGAAGCAGCCGAAACGCTGCCTCCACGTCCACCTTCGCCATCAGCGCTCCCCGCCCAGCTCTCCGTACCAACTCGACTGCCCTGTTGAATGATGTGTAAGATACTGAACAGAGTGCCGCGTCGATGTCATCATTCACCGATGTCCCTTTAGGATACGATAAGTGATGAATCAACCTGAATTTGCCAGCCTCTTTTTTGGGGACCACTCCAAGTGGGGATATCCGCAACTCCGCTAGAGGCGGGTACGGGAACGGCCCCGCCATCCTCCCTAAAAGGACCTCTTTAGCCAGCTTGTCCCGCACCACCTCCGGGCGTTCCCGCACCGATTTAAGATTGGCACAAACCGCCCCTGGTTCCTTGACCGTGAAGGGGATCACGAAGCCCTCCCTAAAACCCCGCCACAAGAACGCCGCATCCTCCTGGTTAGCGTATTGCCTTAGCCAAGGCAACATCGCGCCTAACCTCACTGGGGACGCCCCCAGTTGCAGCCGAGGTGGCCGCCACCCCTGCGGTTCCCCCCCCTGTATTAAGCTTACCTTTCTTGAAGCATCTGCTGGCGCCGTGATTCCCTCCGCAGCCCGAACACTCGTGCCTAAATCGGCATGAAGTACCCCACTTGCATTGACCCTCGTTGTATGTCCAGCATAGGCCTTTCTTTTGTCCCGCTGGCACAGCCATGCCTGAGGCTGTCCCAGCTGCCCTGAGAAAGGGCGCAGCCTTCTGCGCCATCATAATCCTCATCCATAGCGGCAGGTCCATTTGGTCCCACCGCATGGTAGGGTTGGCCGCCAAGCGTTGCCGAAACTGCTCATCATATTTCCACCATGCTAGGCCCCCATACGTCCGATACGCATCGCCTATCCCATCCAAGTAGCAGAACAGTTGTGAACAGCTCCCCGGCCTTTTTTCCCCTATTACACTAGCCAGGATGCAGAATGCCCTCAGCCAATTCCCAAAAGTCTTCGGTATCTTACGATACCTCCGCCTTTTTTCCTCTTCCTCCTTCTTGGCGTCCTTCTTATCCTCCTCCTTCAAGTCTAGGAATTCCTCCAAAGGGAGCAAGGAAAAAATTTCCATGAACTCCCCCTTCCAAATCTTCTCCTTGACCTCTAATTTCAGGTGACAACCTAGGGGGCCCGCGAAAGATACGTGTACATTTTGACGTGCTGCGTCCGAAATGTCGCCACAACCGACTGCCGGCTCGCCCCCCCCATCCGCCGCACCGGACGCCACCACCGCTTCGCTTGTCTCGCCACCGCTCGCTGGTTGGCCCACCGCCCCCAGTGCCTTAACCGCCGTGTCAGGGGACCATACTTTTCCGAACTGCAATGGTGATTCCCCCCTCCCTGACCATGCCTCCAATAGTGTTTTTAAATAGCCCAATAACTGTCCGGAGTGTTGTGCAGATATGGACTCACCGTTGGAGACCCCGGCCGTGCCAGGCCCCGGGGATGCCGACCTTCTGTCCACCCGTTCAGGCTCCGGAGCATCCGGTTGACGCCGACTCCCATCCGCCTGATCCCTCCTTAGGACCGTAGGGGTAGCGCTCCGCGACCTGTAAGGAGAAGACAACCTGGGTAGTCTATACTGCTGGGACCCTACCCGCCCTTCCTCCCTACGCTCCTTTCCGCGGTTCCAAGCTTCGCACTGCCTTGCTGGCCTAACTTCCCTGCTCCTGGCGACCCGCTGCTGTCCTAGCGCACTGTCACCCGAGGACCCAGATGCGTTGCGCCGCCTCCGCCCCCGACCGTCCTTGGAAGCGGACCTCCTCCTCCCCACCCTGCAGCTGGCCCTGGAACCACTGCGCCTGCCATGTGATGGACTCCTGTCCCTGCTCCACTGCCGATCGGCTGACCTCCTGCTGCTGCTGGGCCTGGCGCTACCGCTGCGCCGCTCCCGTCCGTAATCCCCCCTCTCCATGGTCCCGCTGCGGTGCCCCCCATGAGAGCAGCCCGAGGGGCCCATCCTTCCACTGCTACTGCTCCTGACCTCCCTATCCCGCGCTGTACCGTGTGGGTCACCCTTCTCCGCTGTACCTGGCCATCCGCTGGCCGCTGCGCCTGGTTCAGAGGCCCCCCACACCCCCTGGCAGCCCGCTGGAATCTCTGCCGCTCTCTGCCCGATCCTGTCGTCCTCCTGCCGCCCCTCACCCCTATGCCTGGCATTATCACCCGTCCTGGCCACATCTAAGGCCGCCCGCGAGCTGATCCCGCTGACCAGGCCACCCATGGGTAGCTGGGGGGCCGCCTGCGCAGGAGCATCCCGCGTCCCGCCCGCCCCCTGCCCCTCAGTGACCAGAGTGGACTCACCGGGACGCCTCAATAAAGTGCTGCCGACCACGTGCTCCTCCGCTCTCCCGGCCGCATTTCCCGCCGTGCTGGAGCCCTCCTCTGGGGTACTTGTGCTGCCTGCCGCCATCTTGGGTGGGGCACGTTTTCCGGCAGGCCCGCGCTTTGCGGCCGTCCTCGCCTGACTGGCGCCGCATCGCACAGGCGGCGCCGGCTGCTTTCCAGTGCTGTCCGACCCTCCCGCCTCCTGGCTGGGTGCCGACGGGCTCCTCCGCCGCCGTGGAGCGGGCGCCATGCCCGGACTCAAACGCTGGGGTGGCCGTGCTCTTCGCGCCGTCCTGCGCTCCGCTGGTGCTGGAGGGGGAACTGCAGCCCCCAGTTGTTCGTGCAGCCAGGCCAGCCCTCGGTCCTTCACTGCTGCTCTCACTCCGGCCAGGATCTCATCCAGGGACGCCATGGACCTGCAGAAAGAGAAAAAAGAAAAACCCCACAGACCTGTCACAACTAACAGGTAAGTGAAGTTCTGATTAAAATGGCCACTCTCTAAGATGGCCGTTATTTTAACCCCTTTTAATCCCGCCCCCAAGCTCCATTAGCTTAAACCCACCCTTAACTGACTGCACCTGCCCACTCCTGGCTCTGTCAAGGCCCACTCCCCTTACTTCGTTGCTCCATGGGCTTCACTCATCGGCTGCTTAGTGTGAACAACATACATATACAGAAATAAAAGAATTGGAAAACAAAATAAAAAAGCAAGACGTGCCCAGAAGCCAAATGAAATGGATGAAAGCCACCAAATCTGTTTTTTATTTGTTTGTTTTTGAAGGATGCCTATTTCTATGAGATGAAAACATGATGATATAATTTGACTGCACAGGATTTTTAAAAAAAAATTTTTAAATTCCATGCTACACCGCCAGGTGATCTCCTTCTGCTATTATCTAAAATCTTTCCAAAGTTACATTAAGCTCAATGTGTCCCGATAAAGTACCATACATGCCCCTCCCCCGTGTAGAATTATTTTTATCCCCTAATGTTATATATGATAAAATGGCCTCAATGTAATATTTTTGCAAATGATTTAATATTTTTAGATACATTTCTAAAATATTTTTTTTTACAAATATTTAAATATGAAAAAAATTCTATCATTAATAAAAACAAACAGACATCGAAATATTACAATGTTTATCAAAATATTAACCAATATTTTCAAAAAATATGAAATCATTTAAAAAACATTTTTTACATTGAGGTCAAAGTAAGTAGTTTGTACGTCACACATTAGGACATTCATTGGGTGGAAGTTCTGTTGAATCTTGGCTTTCCAGTGACAAATCTTAGCACGCTAACTTTTTTGTCCCCTTGCCAAATGCACCACTGATTGTTTTGAATGTTATTTTCTGTAGAATTCATCCATTTTTTTCATGAGATCCCACCTCCTGCCGAATGCCTTTATAAGGGGAATACTTTGTTCGTGATGGAGAAGTTAATGTTTTACCCCTGAAGCAGATGTTGTGAGCTAGTTAGTGGAGGAACCTTGGAAGGCTTGACCCGATACAGGGGAACATTAGCAGAAGGGTCAAGCAGAGGGGTCTTAAATTGAACACTTAGAGAGCAATCTTCAACATGGATTTTGGGCCTGTGTCTACCCAGCTCAAAGCAATTATACTATCAAACATATGATATATCCTTTCTTTTTTAATTATTCTGGTTAAAATGATCTTATCTTTGGCGATCCAGAGAATATGCAACAATATTTTATTATATTTTTTTTACGTGAGGCTAAAATGGCTTTGTAGGAAAACTACGGTGATAATTTTACCGCTTTGCAGATGCCTTTAAGGCCTCATGTGTCACTGTTTTCCGGGCTGCAAATTGTAAGGAAATGACCACCAATTGAAATGAAAGAGTCTTTTTTTTTTTCAGTCAAACGGCACTGAACCAGAATATAAGGAGTTAATTTCTTCTTCCTTCTCTGTCTGTTAAATGCAGACCGTCTCCAGCTCATTTTTTCTCTAGTAAAAGTGTGAGGAAAGAGCAGGATCTATTTTTAAGAATAATGAGCATGTTGTGAGCCCCAGTATTTCATTACGCAGATTCTGGGCGGTCTCACCCTGCAGAATGTGCGATAAAGACTCCCTGAAAGGCAGAAGACACATATTTAGCTCTTTTGAAACTTGTAACACAAAGGAAGGGTTAACCCTTTCATCTCCAGGTGCATGCAGCAATTCACGCCTGGCCCATCGCAGGTTTAATGCCAGAAATTCACGCTCTGTTATTTAACACATTCTGCATGCACTAACATATGGTGTTAAGGCTTTTTTTAGGATAGTTATTAAAATAAAAGATAATATGTAACAGATGACAAAGTCGCTAATAATGTCTTCTTGTACCAAATATCTAGATATCCATAGCTTATCGCAAACTGGGGTCATAAGTCAGCTGTTCTCAGTATGGTTACTTTGACCTAAGAAATTTCAATTTACTTTTTACCAGACAGCTTTGTTTTTTTGGCATGGGTGCCTCTCAACGGTTTTGTAGTTTGACCAGAGCCAATTGCTGAATAGTAGTGATTTTCTATTCCAGGTATCAGTCAGATAGTGCTCAGTATTTCGACTTGCACAAGCTGCATAAATCCATGCGATTCTAATTTTTTTATGCCTTAAAGGAGCACTCCACACACCTAAAGCACTTTCGTATGTCCTCTTTTTTTCATTTTACAAAAAGGGCAGATTTCAAAAGAGATTAACACTTTTATAAATTAACGTTGTTACACACGCCTCCCCTGACTGTAAATCAGACAACCAGTCATGTTCCTGGTAGCTTAGCTCAGTGGAGCTCAAATCACCTGGCTTGCAAAGACTTCTTTTTGAGCTGTATTGGGAAGTCTGTGATTGGTCAGCCACAGAATGTCTGGGAGGGGTTAGTAGGGGAGGGCTTGTAAATACTGCAGACAAGACATCTGTAGCTTTTGCGTGCTGTTTTTAGATATACCCGATTGATCAAATACATGCATTTTTTCATTTGGGGTATATATACTAAATAGTGATTTTTATTTTTCTATGTGGGCTGTGTTCCTTTATATGCATGTTTTTACTGACAAATGGGCTTTAAGTGGTTCTGAGGATTTTGCTCACAATGCCCAAGCTTTTTCTATGACAAGAATGCTTAAAAATATACACACATTTTCCTCCTGACTCCAACTCCCATGATTCACAGCTATGCCAAACAGTACATTAGCCATCCACAGCTAATTGACTAATTGTTGTACCGGAAGCGCTATTGTGTCAGTGCTCAGTTTTTGCAGACTGAGAAAGTCGCCAAGCCTGCTACCATTGGTACTCAGTGCCCTCTGTACTTGGCACCAGCCAGGAGAGGTGTGGTCCATATTATCACACTAAGGTTCTGATGAATAAATCTGTTAATGCTTGGCAGCTGCTGTCTGCACATGAATGCCCAGTTTGGAGGCAAAAAAGTGTTGCGTGGCTGCATGTAGCACAAATTATTTTATATTTGCATGAAACACATAGCCTAAAAACTTAGCACAGTGTAGGTATGTATCCACTCAGAGCCATGCGTGTGGCATGTGAGAGGGGAGTCCGTTGGCCACAAAGAGGGTGGAAATGAGGGTCCACCCACTCGGAACGTGGGCTTGAAAGTGTGCAACCAAACACGTCGACAGACAGCTCTTCGAAAGCACAAGTGCATGGGTTTAGGGCCCCACGTGCATTCTTTTTGGGGATATTTCCCTCGTTTACCCAGAAGTGGAACAGCAAAGAATGAACCTAGAACAATGGCACAAGAGTCCAAAATCATGACTGTCCCACTGAATGCAGGGAGGCATACTCTAGTGTTTAATGACATTAGTAAAGGATCCTCTGTCATAAACAAAAAGGTACAACTACTCTTTAAACCATCATCTCTCAGCATATCAAATTATTAGCATAGAAACAAAAGTGTAAATAAGATGGTAACATTGGATTTTCTTGTCATTTACATTTTTACACAGTTAAGTTATATTTTCCAGTTGCTCTGTGACACAGAGCTGGGTGAGGGAAATTCAGAATAGATTTTGGGTACTTTTCTATACGCTATTATACCAGATAGAGGAAAAATAACAACAATCATCTACCATTGTCCGCAAGACTATACCACACAAGAGTGAGTTACGAAGGGGGTGCTGTGTGCTCCCCATCCCGCCTGTCATTTGGCACAGACTGCCCTATTTAGTACACCAATGGGGGACAGCAGCATGCTCGGACAATGTGCTCTGCTGACAGTGTACCTTAAGACGGACACTTGTGCCGCTTTATGGTAGCGCAAGCCCTGAGCCCATGCACACAACACTTCACAGCATTCAGCCCATGTGCTTCCCTGAATGGGACTGGTTAACATGTTAATAAGCCTGGCATGTGTTGAAATCAGAAATAATTTTTATTTTTTTTATTTTTTTGGGGGGGGTGGGAAGGGGGTTACTGTATGTAAGGTGACTGATGTGTACTGTGGTTGTTGCTGCCGCCCAGGAGTGATGGGAGTGAGTGCAGGACTTATCTTTTTGTATTTGTATTCACTTTTTGTATCTCACAGCTTTGTTACAATGCTGCCGCTCATCTCATGTGTTCCCTATTAAGGGTTAATAAATATATAGGGGTGTATATAAAAAATACCCCTCTCTGTCTCATTAGAGATATCTTTGCCAGAAGTTCAAGCAAGGTGAAGGGTCAGTGTAGGACCCGCCTAAGGGGGTCTGCCTTGACGTTGGCAGGTGGGCATTCCTTCCAAAGGCCATTGGAATAACTAAATGACCTCCATTTGTTTAAATATACATAGGGATTCAGGAGAGAGCGCAGGTAACTTTTTTTCTATGGGTTTTACTGTATGCAAGCTGGTTGATGTGTACTGTGGTCGTTGCTGCCACCCAGGAGTGATGGGAATGAGTGCAGGACTATTCTTTATGTATTTGTGTTGAAATCAGTTTGACATGCCACTTTTAATGGACAGGGAAGACCTATCCTGTTTGGGCATCATTTGTAAAGCAAACTACATCACTGGCATGCTCCCTATAGGTGCGATCCCGGTATGTACTCACAGGGCCAGCCTCTTCCCCTGGGGGGCCCAGCAGCCGGTCCCCTCAGGGCCCCCCAGAGGCTGGCCCTGACAGGGCGCAAGGGAGCACTCTTTCAGATTACTCCTAAGATCAAGATGTGGTCGGAGCCGATGATGACGCCATCTCCCGCCCGCATCAGTATCGGCCGAGGAGCCGAAGAGGAAACACAGAGAGTGCTCCCCTCGAGCCGCCCCCCTCCGCCAGTATCAGGTGGAGGGAGTGAAATGAGATGGGGAGGAGGAATGGGAGGGGAGAAATGAAATCATGGAAGGGGGAAGGAAATGAAATGGGAGGGGAGAAGGAATGGAGGGGGAGAAACATGGGAGATGGGGAGAAGAAAAGGGGGGAAGGAATGAAATGGGAAGGGGAGAAGGAATTAAAGGGGGGAATGAAATGGGGAGGGGGGGGAAATGAAATGGGGAAAAGGGGGAAGGAAATGAAATGGGAGATGGAGAAGGAATTAAATGGGAGGAAATGAAATGGGGAGGGGGGAAGGAATGAAATGGGGAATGAAATGAGGGTAAAGGAATGAAATGGGGAAATGAAATGGGAGATGGAAGGGGAGAAATGAAATTGAGGAGGGAAATGGAAGAAGAAGGGGAGGAATGAAATGGGGAGGGGGGAAAGAAGGAAAAGGGGAGGGGGGAAGAATGAAATGAGGGGGAAGGAATGAAACTGAGGGAGGGAGGGAAGAAATTAAATTTGAGGGAGGGGGGGCAAGAAATGAAACGAGGGAAAGGGGGGGACAGGAATGAAATTTGAGGGGAGGAGAGGAATTAAATTTGAGGGGGAGGGGGAAAGGAATTAAATTTGAGGGAGGGGGGAGAGGAAGGAAATTTGAGGGGGAGGGGGGAAAGGAATTAAATTTGAGGGACGGGGAGAGGAAGGAAATTTGAGGGACGGGAGGAGGGGAAGGAAATTGGAGGGGGGAGAGAAGGAAATGAGAGGGAGAAGAAGGAAATTGGAGGGGGGAAGAAGGAAATTGGAGAGGGAGGGGGAGAAGAAGGAAATTGGAGAGAGGGAGGGAGGGGGAGAAGAAGGAAATTGGAGGGGGGAAGAAGAAATTGGAGAGGGAGGGGGAGAAGAAGGAAATTGGAGAGAGGGAGGGAGGGGGAGAAGGAAATTGACGGGGGGAGGGGGAGAGATTGACATCCATCACACACAATGCACACCTTGCACACAGAAAAACACACAATGCATTACACACAGACACACGTACACAAGCAATGCATCCCTTACACACAGCAACACACAATGCACCCCTTACACACACTCAATGCATCCCTTACAGACGCACACACTGCATCCCATACATACACAAACTCATCTTGCAGCCCTTACACATACAAACACAGATT